CCACTAGAACTATGGAGAGGTAAACTAATACCTATTGATCATTTAAAAGTATTTCGTACACCTTATTGTGTTCATATTTTAATGAAAATACGACAAAAGTGGGATAGAAAAAGTGTCATTGGTGGTTATATTGGCTATTGTGAAAAAAAGATGGATAATAGAGTTTGACTTCATGATAAAAACAATGAAATCGTTGCGTAGAATGTTTAGTTGAAGAGTCGGGTAGATACAAAATTGTAATGTAAATAGTATTAAAGATGAAAAACAAGAAGCTGCAAAAGAAGAATCAGTGGAAAATGGCGTTACAGTGTAACTAAGAAAAAGTAAGCGTGAAATTCGAAAAACATCTTACTTAAAAAACTATGTACTTTTGGAAGAAAATGACGACACACCAGAGTTCTATATGGACGAAATAGGTTCTGACGACGCTGATAACTGGATGCGAGTTATGAACGACGAAATGCAATCATTAATCGAAAATAACACGTGGACTTTAGTCAACTTATCACTAGGACTCAAGCTTGTATAGAAGTGGCAGAAGTTGAAAAGGCCTTTGGTATGTGAAGAGAAAGTAAACATCAAACCACGTCGGAGAGCTTGGAGAATTTATCTGCCAGTGTCGTCTCATAGAATAATTAATTTTAAATATTTACCGGCTGAACCGGACAATAGCATGTATTTATGGATTAGAAATAATTATTAAACAAGTGTTTTAACCAAAAATCATAATAATTCAAAATTTCAACAGCGATTCACAATTTATTAAACTATTTACCCGAAATTGTTATAAACATCAATAAAATAATTTTTACGCCCATGTATCGCGTCTACTCCGGTTAGCTCCGCCACAAAACTGTCGCTCATTTCAACCCTGTCAGAGTAAACTTAAGTATTTCGGCATCAGAGAAATTACATCTTCGTCAATTCGACGTTGATACTCATTTCTCTAAGATAAAATTTAGGAGGAAGCTTTCATGAAACAACCTGAGGGGTTTGACGATGGCACTGGAAGAGTGTATATGTCGTAGGCATAATGCAAATTTAGGAATATTATAAAATGCTTAGACATTTTACAAAAAGCCGGCAAAACGCGAGTATAAAACGCATTTTTCGTTATGCCGACACCAATTCAGGCAAACTGATAAAATGCCGGCAAAACAAGAACAGAAGAATATATATCATGTTGTGACTGATTATTTTCAGGCATTTTACAATTTGCCGAAAATGGTACCGTCAAAACGTGAAAATAAAGTCGAAAGTACTACTAAATATAAAAAATACAGTTACAGTAAATCTTTTTATTAAGAAAACATAAATAAACAGTTTACACTTCATGATATAAAAATATACCTATTAACTTTAGTAACTACCTAACACAAATAAGAAACTGCAAATAAAAAACAAATCCTTTGAAAATAAGATATTTTTATAATTTACCATTTAAGTAGGTAAGAATGTACCTATGCTATTACTAATATAAAAGTATAACTAAAAATGGAAAACTAATTTTTTATTTATTACTACATGTCAAACTTCCATGACATTTAGAAGAGCATAAATTATTATTTTTAAAGCAAGCACATTTTTTGTATTGCACTGTTTACTACTCGCCTTACAGCTACATTTTTGAAAGCCTTGACCTCCGAATCGCGACTGATATGCAACTGCCTCTCTGAGAGTAATTAGTCGATCAGGTACTTCATCTTCAGAACCTACTGAGGATTCTTGAATATGATTTCTATAAAATAAAGAATTTCTTTAGAGGTACCTAATTTGTAGAGGCTATTTTTCAGGTCAATCACTTTTCCAATGATATTCTTGGAATCGAGAGGTCCTCGATTTACCTTAGGAACTGTTAAATAAACAACTGATCCGATTTTGTTGGATGCCTCAGTTATCTTTTCAGCTGCTCTTTTTTGACCAGAGTAAGATTGTTATCTCTCAATTTCAATTTTATTTTGAGTTTCACAAAGTGAACAAATCTAGTTTTGAAGATGGTCCTGAACTTAAAATTGTACAATTTGAATGCATTGTGGCATTACATATCTCACAAGTGAAATTAGATTTTCCTGTAATTTTTTCATTACACAATATACAAGATTATCACTTTAAGTCTCAGTCGAATTTTCTTCCGTATTGTTCAGTTGAATGCTACCCTCTGAGTCCGAATCAAGATTATCTTGTGGTATTTCCCGTTCAGTGTTGTTGGTTCGTGAAGGATTCATTATATTTTCAAGTTCCTCTTCTGTCTGAAGCTCTTTAATTACACAATCTAGCAGGTTTGTCGATTTTAATCCAAGTTTCGGATCAGCTCCAAACAATGCACGGTGCGGAGTCCTTCCAATAATGCGATGTTTTAATGAATTTTTCTGCCACTGTACAAAATAGCACCCCATGGACCAATTTGTGCGGGAGTGATCGGACATCCAGGAACAAAGCATGTTCTCAACATCTTAATTACTTGCTTCCACGCTACCCTGGCTTTGAGGGTGACGTGACCTGCCATGAACAATTTTGCAATCAGGCCAGTAGCCAACAATTTCTTCTATTACTGAAACAGTAAATTCCCGGTCATTATCACTTTGCAATATGTGCGGTGCTCCAAACTCCAAAAATATTTTCAGTAATTCTATAGCTACCTCTGCAGCACGTTTGGTATGTAAAGGGCGAAGATGCAAAAATTTGGTCGCATGGTCTTGATAATTAAGAAGCAGGAGCAGATTGAAAATCTATTAAATCTACTTGCCCGCGAACATTAAAATCTTTAGAAAGGATTGATCGCACAACCAATCCCTTATGAGGTTGCGATTTTTTAAGTTGACATTCCTTGCATAGTGAAATAAAAGTTTCTACTGCTCTTCTAGGAATGTTATATTAATTTTTTAATGCAAATAGCATTTTATCCCTGCCACCAGGACCTGTAGATCGGTGAGATTCTAACAACACATCAAATTACTGTTCTATGGGAATTATGTAAACAATAGGTTGGTCAAGAGAACTTCGTTTTACGACTAAATGTTCATCAGTACCGATAGACAAATTATCATATTTTCTCATTAAATGATACTGCTTATTATTTTTTTGTTACCTGTTGAGTCAGTTAATTTAACATGCTTAATGTCTGTAATAACTTCTTTAACCCTGTCAGCCGTCCAAGACTATTTAATAACATCTTTTTCCATTCTTTCACTATAAAACTTTTGTAGCTGTTCATTAAATTGCGCTTTCATGACTTCTCGTTTCTCTTTCTCGATTTGTATATCTTTGTGGTTTTCGCTCATTTTGATGTTCTTGAACACATCAAAATAGATAAACAACAAAATAAAGATTACGCGAAATATTAAATTATAACTCAGTGTGCGTTATTACCGACCGCTGGCTGATAGCAAACTGCAAACGGGCAATTCCTAATACCTAATGTACTAATCAATCGAAAAAAGTCGACTTCTTTTATATCTATTCACGTTTTGGCGGCACTGTTTTTGGCAAATTGTAAAATGCCTAAAAATAATCAGTCACAACTTTATATACATTATTCTGTTCTTGTTTTGCCGGCATTTTATCAATTTGCCTGAATTGGTGTCGGCATAACGAAAAATGCATTTTATTCTCGCGTTTTGCCGGTTTTTTGTAAAATGCCTATAGGCAGTTTATAAAAGGATTAAATTTGCATTTTGCCTACGACATATATATTAAATCAAAGTCTATACGGACTGAAGTAATCCCCGAGATGCTGATATCAAAGATTCATGGACTAAAAAAAAAAAGATCTAAAAGTAAGCAATGCAGATCCATTTCTATTTACTCGCATTAAAAATAAGCGGAAATTATTGAAAAAATATTTTTATTTTTATTTTCTAAAAATGAATTTCTTTGAATACGTCAGGATTATGAGGTATATATCATGTCACTGTTGTGATTATAAATAAGATTAGAAGTAAGCTTCCATTGTTGCTTATTTTCAAACATTTGTTTCTTAGAATCCATTACAAATCTGAATTGTGTATCTTACATTAAAAATTTTCTTAAGTTTCGTGTAAAAATTATGTTTAAAACTTTCAATGAGTTCTTAAGAAAATATCCCCTGGAATCGGTTCATATTTCTGTACACATTTTTAATTCCGTCAATCTAGTCAGGAGTTGTTTGACTAGAATAATATTGCCAAATTTATCGTTTATCGGCTTTGTAACTGGTAGTTGGTTGAAAGGTAGGATAAACAATTTTTAATTTAGTAGGGATTTTAGATATCAGTTATTCATAACTATCAGCTACATAACCAAATCATTTAATCATGCACTAATCGTTATCTGTAAAAAGGTATAGTCAGACTGTTTAATGAAGAACACAAGAGAATTCAACAGAAATCAGCAAACAGTAGTTATATTCTTGGATTTCACTAAAGGCATTCGATAGAGTATGACATGCTGGACTGGTATACTAAAATTAATGACCAAAAATACAAAGCAGGAATGACAAAACTGTTCAGGCCATACGTTACTGGAAGGCATTTCCAGATCAAGATGGGACACATTCTATCTAGACTAAAAATTCTGGAAGCCCTGTTGTATACCATATACACAGCGGACACACCCAAGTTGAAGCACACTATCATGTGCCTCTGCACAGACAACACGGCCCTAGCAGCAACGAGCACATACCCAATAATGATATCCAGGTACCCTTAAGAAGCAGCAACAGAAGATCTGTAGAGACATAACTCATAAAATGTGCATGATATTAAATATCAGAATATGGCACAACAGATTTAAAGCTCAAGGTCATCCGGTTTAAAACAAGCAATTTTCGACCTGGTATCCAAATACCAGTGGTAGTGGTCGTTGAAAAAATCTTTTCCGGCGCTGTCGCACCAAAAATTGACACTTTCTTTTCTCAAAAAACATTATGGGAACAGAGGCGTAACGAAAATGATAATAACCCGGACTTTATCGACACTACCTACTTATATTATTAAAATTAATATAAATTATAAAGTATTTACAATTCTGTAGACCCAGGCCATAATACAAGCCTTCTTAAGATTTTCCTCAGTCATTTTGTCAGGTTCTTCAATAGCTTTATATGAATATAATGGAATTAAAGCTGTGGTTAAAAAGTAGGGGTCTTCATTTGGTACGGTGTAATCTAGCAATTGCGGAAATCTTTCTAGAAGGCCTGGAAATTCTTTGTATTGAGAAATATAGCTAGTCAAGTCTTTAGCTAAAATAGGATAATGAGCCTTGAGGTCAGCCATTTCGTCTTTAAAAAAGTTACCATCATCTTCAGTTAAAGTTGGATTTACAGTTGATAATCTAGAACAAAAAATCAAAAAGTCTGTATTGTAGCAATAATTAAGAATATTGATAAGTGCTCTTTATATAAAATATGTCACGATTTATGTGTTCTATAATAATTAAGGGACATAGCTATATCCCAGTGGGTTAAACGATAAGGGTCTAAATAGTGTAAGCACTAGATTACTTTAAACTTGGCTTCGTAACCTTAGCCCTTAACTGTAATGTATAAGGGTATTATTCTTAATATCAGACCTAATATAACTGTGTAAGAGAATAAAGGAAACACAATATTTTTTTAAAATAAATATTTTATTCAACTATACAAAATAGGTCGCAAACCAAAACTATAACAAATTAGCTTACTAACTCCAATATCTGGAGCACACGTCACAACTCTTGATTAAACGTCAATACCGCCATTTAAAATACACAAAAAAGGGACTATGCCTTCGGTCCAATTCGCCACCCGGAAAACGCCTCCTTTGACCTCAATTCCTTCTTTATAATTTTCTTTATTGTTATTTTATTTATGTTTAATAATTATTGAATAATCAACCTTGTACATGATTGCAACTTAAAACAAGTTCACGATATAACTAAACAAACTTTCATGTACAGGATGTTATTTACATAAATAATTAGAATTTGGAAAAATGTGAATTTATACGAAGTGTGACAATATTATAAAGGAAAAAAATAATCTCATAATAATGGGACGATTAAACGAAACATACTTGTCATACATAGACCTTTGCGGGTCTGAGGGGATAGGAAATCGACGAGTCATAGGCGTGCGGTTATTAAAAATGATCTTCCGCGTTTTAGAACGAATTGGTTGTCACAAAAATTGTTTTTCTATTTTAAAGTTGCACAAGGTGAGGAAAACCGGCAATAATAATTATCAAATAAGTATATATAATTTCAAATGTATATCCGAGCCCTGTCTCAGTGAAGTTGGCTTCACTGCCAAAACCATGTTTTTTAAAGAAATTTGCCATATTAACGAAAAACGTATTAAAAACTGTAATATTTCTGATAAGTGATTTGTTTATTTAATTTTAGCCTAAAATACAATTTTTTTGTAATAGAAAAAAAATCAGATACATTCAAAAAACTGTATATTAAAAAAAAATACGAAACCAAATAACAGCAAATTACCACTGCGTTACATCGCCTTTTCGACTGATTACTGATTCGATACACCTTGACATAGTGTCATTTAATGTTTGGCAGTCATCTGCTGTAAAACTGTTCCAAATTTCTTAAAGACGGGTTCTCAATTCTAGAACGGTTCTTGCGGGATTTGATCTGAGCTTCTTTTTTCCTGATATGCCGCAACGTTTCAAGAGGCGATAGATCTGGGCTACTGACGTCCATTTTAAAAGTGGAATATTGTTTTCTAACATCCAATCTTTTACTTTTTTAGCCGTGTGTCAAGCGGCACCATCTTGCTGGAAGATACATTCCATATTATTTAAACCCATTTTTTCAATTTGGGATTTTAAGTTATTTTGAAGCCCATTAATGTACTTATCAGTATTCATAATACCTTTCACAAAGTGTAAGTTTCCCACTTCTTAAGCTGACACGGCTCCCCAAATCATAACAGAAGCCGGAAACTTAACTTTCTTTCTAAGACAGTCATTCTGAAACACTTCTTCTTTTGTTCTTAGGACACGACTCCTATAATCAACAATGCGTTCTTTAAATCTGGCTTCATCATTCCAAATAATAGAGTTCTATTGGTGTGGAGACCATAACTGATGTTCCTTTGCCCACACTAGTCTATTTTTATTCTGAAACTTTGTCAGTAAGGACTTCTCTTCTGCCTATGAATTATTCAATTAAAAACAAACAAGAAGTAAAAATTATTTAAGCATACCTTGTAAGTTTTAAATCTTAGTTTTTTTGGCAGCTCTGTGACAAATTGCTTGGAAAATGTTTTTCCCGTTGACTGATTTCATAATATTCTCAACTTGTTATAATTAGCACGCCGATTTTGCTTGATAATCCTTTTTAAAGCTCTTAAGTTGGCATTGGAATATTACGAATAATTTCCTGTTCTCGGTTTTTGAGCCACATATCCAGTTGTTTTCTACAGTTTAATAATATTTTGAACTGTATATCTCGATTTATTAACACTGTCAGCGATTTGGGAAGAAGTTTGGCTCTTCAAATGCAAGTGAATTATCACTTTCCCTTTTTCTTCAAAAACAGCTTTAACACAGGCCATTTTTAGTTGTTAACAATAACACTAATGTACGAAAGTTAATTAAAACGTCAAAATCGGCTTCTTAGCAAAGTCAAATTTTTTTTTGGTGTGTCATCGGCTTCAACTGCTAAGGTTATTTCGCCTCGTGTTCTGTGTAGGCTTTGTTACTGTTTCCCAGTGCCACTTTAGGAACAGCACTGTTAATTAGAACCCAACAGTGAATGGTCGAGTGGGGAATCCTACCAAGGCATCAGAATTAATTTTAAATAATTAAATTAAATGAAAAAATCCCGGCCAACGGTGGGATTCGAACCTGAGACCTTCCGATCTCAAAGTCATGACTCTAACCACTGAGCTAACCCACCCCCCAGTCAAATATTATCATTTATTTTACAAAGCCTGCCTTGATTTTATTGAACTTAAGTTCTATGTATTTTGCCTAATCATTTTACAAATAAAACAATTTCGAAATAAAATCTCTTTAAAAATAGCCACGCTGGTCTTATTATATTTCCATAAACATTTAAACAAACCAAAAATATTATATTTTTAACAAAATTTTAATTTGTCGTGAGATAAATTCACAAATATCATGTTTTGTGGGGTTGGGACATCTTAACTGAGACAGGCTCGTATATTTTTTATATATCCCTGTTATAAACTGTAATAGTCTTTTAAAATGATAGTAATAGTAATAATAGTTCAACATTTAATACATATTTGACATATTTATCTTTATGACACCGTACTAGGTTTAGTAACTCGATTTTTAAAATCAGTTCATTGAATTTAACATTTTTCTTAGTAAGCCAATCTGCAATCTGGGCTTTTCTCCATTTGGTGGTTGGGGACTGTTCTATATGCCGGCTGTGGTATGGAGCGTTATCTATAACAATAACAGATCCTGGTTCGATTTTTAAATTAATATCTGAAAACAATTCCGGTCTCTTCTGTTGAAATCCCTATCAGCGCGCCTATGGCACCGCTTCAACGATAACATCCAAGCAAGGTTAAAATGCGTTGTTGCCAATAACGTCGATTTAATCTGCGACGACAGTGTGGATCTCGGACATTATCTACCATTAGATAAGTAAATAATAAACAAATGAATTAGTTATTCAAAAAATTTATAAAGATAGCGATCTTCTCAATTTTTTTGAAACTATCTGAACGTATAGTCTTTGAAGAGTAAGTAGAAGAAAAAGGTTTAATTAATACTGAATATTTCTCCTTCTGTCGATATTCAAAAAATCAACAACTATTAAAAATAACTTTTTTGTGCAGGGTAAACGTCTAATTTGATTGGCCTATAAAATTTCTTTACAACATTATTCACTATCTACAATAGTGGTATTTGACTATAGATAAAATATTACTGGTTTCCGAAATACAGGGTGTTAAAGTTGAAAATTCAATATTTATTAAAGGCTCTAATTTATTTTATTTCTCGATATAAATTTGGTAAACATTTTTGGTGTCATAAGATACATTAATTAGAGAAATAATAATTTAAATAAAGTTTACTAGTGGCGTACGGCACTGATAAGTAACACCTTCATCCCCTATAAATTTTACGCCACTGTCCTAAAACTTATTTGAACTATAATTTAACATTTTTTGATGTTTTATAAATAAATTATGTACTCTTATAAGTGACTGGTTTTTGAGATATTCACACTCTGTAAATTCTTAAATTCCCAACAAGTGTACATAGACGTGTTACTCTGTAAACTTAAAGTAGGTAAATATATCGTATTTATTAAGGTTATATACATCCCCCCGTACATCATTTAATGATTACGATTTATTGCTAGATTCAATAGAGTCCCTACAGATCATACATGATGTTCCTCTTACGATATTTGGTGATTTTAACATACCAGAATACGTCAGACGTGAAAACTCACCTAAAATGCAAATATTAAATAATTTTACCAAGTTTTTAGATTTCTTTCAATATAATAATGTTCCTAATGATGATGGATCATTAGGTACTTGCCTATGTTTTCAACTGACATTTGTAATGTTAATTGTATTTCTTCCTTAATTGAGCCTGTCGATAGCTACCATTCCGCACTTTAAGTCAGTGTACAGCAGAGTTGGGTCGGATACAGGAAAAAAGTATTCGAGTACCGGATACGGATACTTACAATGTATCCGGATACTTCTTAGGATACTTTCACCTAAAAAGTACTCGGATACAAGTATCCGGATACTTTTTTCGGATACTTTAAAGGATACTTTTACGGATACTTTTAAAGTGAGTTAAAATAATGTTTTCATACCAATAGTTATAATTATGCAATAAGATTGATTACGAGTAACAATAAACAATACTAGGCATGAATAAATTATCGAAAATGGAAAGCAATATAATAAAAACAGAAAAAAACTGCTCAATAAATTGTTTATTATTTTTATTCTGTGAATATAAAACATTAAAACAAAATGAACAATAAAAAATAAAGGTGCGTGAAAATAAAACGAGTCGCGCCTGAACCGCGCCAAAAACCAGCCATCCATATAAATGTAAAGAAATAAGCTCGTTGTTGGCGCGACTTGCCATGTTTATACAACTTTTAGATATTCTCGTGAGTGTCAGATGTATTCGACAATCCATTTTTTGTGGATCCTCCGACGAGCGGTAATTGGTAGAGTCGAGAGCGTCGAAAGAAGGAGGAGTGAGAGATTGCTGAATGTTTCGTTCATAGGCATAGGCAAAGCAGGCTCGTATATTTGATCTTGTCAGATCTGTATACTTTATTGATGTTGATGACGACATTAATAACACATGATCAGTAAC